CCTAAACCCCTGACACACTTGATTTCCAAGTAAAAGGTCAGGGGTAGGGGTGAGTGGGGGGGGCAAGGTTGAGCGGGCAGAGGCGAAGGTGAGGGCAGTGGGACGGGGTGGGCTGGGGGGGGGTGGGGGGACGTGGGGGGGGGGGGGCGAGGGGGGGCGCTGGAGCCCCTCAAACACTTCATTTCCAAGTAAAAGGCAAGGGGTAGGGGTGAGGTGGGGGGTAGGGGTAGGGGTCCGGGCATGCCCTAAACCCCTGACACACTTCATTTCCAAGTAAAAGGTCAGGGGTAGGGGTGAGGTGGGGGGGGCCAAGGTTCGAAGGGCGAAGGTGGTGAGGGGAAATTGGGAGGGGGTGGGCGGGTGTGGGCGGGGGTGCGGCAGGGGGAGGGGGCGGGGGGGGCGGGGGGGGTCCCAGGGATGAACTGAAGAGACCCTCAAAAAAACTTCATTCAAGGAAAAGGCAAGGGGGTCGGCTATGCCCTAAACCCATGACACACTTCATTTCCAAGTAAAGGTCGGTGAGGTGGGGAGGTAAGGGCGTGAGGGTGGGGCGGGGGGGGAGGGGGGGGGGGGGGTGGGGCGAAGGTTGGGGGTGGGCGGGGGGGGCGGGGGGGGTCCGGGCATGCACTGGAGCCCCTAAAACACTTCATTTCCAAGTGTAAGGTGAGGGGGGAGGTGGGGGGGCATGCGCTGGAGCCCCTAAGAGGTCGAGGGGGTGAGGGCGGGGGGGTTTGGGCATGAGGGCAAATGGGTCTTCACTGACGCCTCCCACGCTAAAGCAGGGGTCGGCGGATATTGCTTGCAAGTTGGGCGCTGTTGTCGTTGAGGTTCCTGCCTTCTACCTTCGCCTGTCAGACTTGTGTTCAGCATATTTCGCATCTGAGCACTTTTGGCAGCCGATGTGATTCTTTGACTGCCGCACCGTGTATGTTCTTATGTGCTCTAGCATCAGGTGTACTCGTCTAGCACCCGAGATCGGGGTATTCATGACAGAGGTAGCTTGCCTGATCACGTCACCTCGACATTGCCCTGGGGCGACCACTCGGACTGACAGTCCACGGACAGAACCCTAAGCCCTCAAAGCCCTCAGGCTCTCGAGGGCAAGATCCGCGCAGTCAAGCAGGAGCCCTCGGCAGTCATCGATCCGTTGGTCCAGTTTGGTGCCTTGCCTCATTGTGTGCATGTACACCTGAGCACACCGGCTTGTTCCAGGATCTGGAGAAGACAAAAAAGGAGCTGGCCGACGCAAAGGCTGCTAAGGCGAGGATATGAAAGTTCTTTGTTTTGCTTCGAATGGCATGCAGCAAGCAGTCATCAAGCCGAACGTTAAGTTGCTCTAGAGTATCTTATGTGGTCTCAGGATGTCTCTGAGCAGAACAGGGGTTTCCATCACCAGGTGAAGGGTTGGCCCCACCAGCAGCTGCCAACCAAAAACAATTAGATGACACGTCGGCTATCGCTGCCAAAGCCTTTCTGGGCCATTAGTGGTGCTTTGTGGGTTCTACTCGGGTCAGGGTTTTCTTCTTCCTCGGGTCCTTGGACAAGTCCTCAACTTTTCGCGGCCTTGTCGCAGAATCTTTGGTGGCTGTCTGGGCTTGAATTTAATACTTGTATCTGTCCGGATCCGGAGAATTCCGGTGCCATTTCCGAACCTTGTGGACTCGTACTCCTTGAAGCGTCTCCCACCTCAAGGGGGTATCCGGCTTTCCATGGGTGGACACCGGGAAAGCAAATATCGTGCAACGCCCGTCTCTTCGGGAAGACGCAATTCTCCTGCGCACCCTGCGCGAAGAAATGCTTCACCCCTCCGTGCTCACCTGAGTCTCAAAGGCCAAAGCCGAGGGTGAGCTGGCAGTGGCCGAACAGGACCGGAACCTGTTGAAGGTGTGTTTTGTTCATCTGTACATTTGGTGCTGGGTGTTGAGGGTGTGTTGTTGTGTGTTGTTCTGGGATGCTTGTGCTAGTCTTGAAGGAACGAGTTTTGTTTTCTACCAGGTTCCTCTACGCGGGCTTTAATTCTAGGAAGATCCTTTTTGGTTCTTGTTGGGTTTTACGGTCCTTAGTTTGGACCACGGTGCATTTCTTCAAGCCTCAAGCCCCCCCCCACTGTTAGCTTGAGCAATCCAAGGGCTTGTGTAGTGGTTTTCAGCAGAGATCCACCATTGTTCTTGAACACAAGAAGTGTGCATCTTGAAGTTGGGGTTCTGTTTTCGAGTGCGTTGTCCGGCATGACCTGGAAATTCCACCCTCAAGGCAACAGAAGGCCAATGGAAACCTTAACAGATGCAGGCCTCCGGTCCCCGCGTGTGGAGTACCACATGCAATGTTATTCACTCAGTGATCACAGAGCTCTTTCAGTGTTGCGGCTGCTGGCCTCAGGACATCAAAACCGGCAAGGAGTGAGCCATCTGCAAGACACGCGAAAATGGCAGAGCCAGAAGACCTCTCGGAATTACATAATTTCAGCTGAGACAAGCCCTGTACCCTTCACTTGTCTACGCTGGCAGCAAGCTCTCATGTTTTGTGCGCCATCTCGGCGTCTCTAAGTACATTTGCCTTCAGGTACCTGGTGCAGGTGGAGCGTGGCTGCATGGAGAAGGCTTTGGAGAGCGACGAGCTTTTTAACCTAATTGCACAGAATCTGGATTAGATCGGTTTCACATCCGCTTGCAGGCGTTTGCAATTGTTCCCAAGATTCGGCGTACTTATCCGGGATTGGTGTGGGGATGTGCGGGGTGCCCTGCCCGAGAGCTCATGGGTTGAACCAGGCCGCACAGTTTCAGCAGCAGAAGAAGAACCGACAGGACGAGATCAAGGCAGCAGGGCTGACAGCAGACCGCACAGACTCCACACGGACCGCAGTTGCGCACCTCTTTGCTCTTGCTGAATCAGGCAGTCCAAGCCGCTCTCAAAGCTCTTCGAGGCAGTCTGTAAGCCATGGGGCCTGAGTATTCTGCTGGGAGCTGCAGTTTTCATCTGTTTTCAGACAGGTGGACCCGGTAGGCTTTGAATCTAGGTAAGTTGGAGAGAGACCGTGCGCCTCTCGACATGACCAAACTCTGCCAAGAAAACGAGCTTGATGGATCTCCGGGGATTCTTTTGTTTTCGCTGCTTTCTAGGTCTGGGCATCTGAACACGTCGATTCATGCTTGGTCGTGTTCAGGGAGGGCGCGTGGGTTTTTCACTAGGTTTCAAGTACAGTGAATCTCTCAACCACGCGAATTTCGTTCGTGATGTCCGCTCTTAAAAGTGCTTGATCATTTACTTTAGTTTTGTATGCGGGCGAAGTGATAGATGAAGCTTTATCAGAAAAGCAACCAAAAGCTGTGCATCTGCAAGTCAGTTTGAATAGAACAATGACTTGGATGAAATAGTCAATTGTCTATAGACGTGTTTGTTTTCTATTTTTTCTTCTTCCGCATACTGCACCTGCTTTCTTTGCATTTCTAGCAACAACCTTGTCAGTCGCCTTGTTGGGCGAAATCACGCATACACATTGTGGACTGCTGAAGCAAGAGGCCAATCGAACAAGTCCTTGACATAACCTCCGACTTCAGAAGTTGAAAGTATCAGCAGGGACCGGCCACAACGAACTAAGTTTTTCATGGGTGAATTCAGAATTCCAGGATGGAGTCGTTGCGAAGTTTGGCGCTTTTGTGAGAATTGCGGAGTTAGCTTTTACGAGTGGTGAGTTTTAGGGAGTCCCCGGGATGTCGGGGGGTGGGTTGCTTCTTGCTTTGGGCGGATTTTGGGCCGCGGATGCTGTTAAACGTTTTGCGGGCATCATTCGGGGTTCCCTTCATTCAAGACACTCTGAAACGAAGACAACGAACAGAGGGTGGGCGGTCGCCACTGGAGTTGGGGAGGGCACTGATGATACAGGTGGGACAACTTCACGTCACAGAGGTCTGCCCTGAACTGGTTCCAGGCATCATGGACACGTCTGCTGCAAAGCAGGGCCTCTTCAGCTTCTTGCAGCTCCTTGGATTGTTTGGATTGTGCCATCTATGATTTTCTTTGATCAACTCGGATGATGGACGCTGCTGGACGCTTGCAAGTCTAGGGGCTGATGGGTCCATTTCTGATAAGATTTGAGGATTCACACTAGCGACTTGCCATAGTCACAGAGCACCTACAGCAGCGAACCTACTGCTCCCTGGACTGGCTAAGTTGATTGCCATGCAGTTATTGCAATTAAGACGCTGAACTTGGTGCCCAGGCTTGCTTCCAGCTCCAGCCGTTCAAAGGCGCCAATGACTTGCGTTTGCCATGCGGTTGCTTTTCACCAAAACCCAGGAATGCTTGGACTGAGCGTCCACAGAATTGAATTCCTCCACTTTGATGTTATTTCCTCACGCTTTTTTGGGATCCATGTGTGCCTACACGTGGCCACCTTCCAGCCCCAGGCTTCGGGCCAGACGGTGGCAACTTTGGCAATGAAGAGGGTGCAGCAGTTGGCAGCCAGCCTTAAGCAGGGTCCTTGGATGCTGTGCGAGCGTTGTCTCTAGCAATCTGGGTGATCGTAATTGAAAGCCAGCCTCTACATCAACGGCAACAGACTGGAACTTGTGACAAAGCAACCACTTCTTGGTTGTAATAATTGTAAACGCTTGCGCGCGCCGCCTCGGCAGCCGGGCCGGCCCAGAGAATGCAGTATGTGGAGATGACGCCTGGAGGCGCCCTCTAGGGGCCCGTTTCAGTGGGAAGGGTTGGTTGGGGGGAAGGACGCGGGGGAGGGAGGAGGGCGGGGAGGGGATTTCGTGCATCTTGAGGCCTTCTTCCTACGCCAATGGGGGACCTCCACAGCATCGGTTTGCAGCTGCTCCAAGCGATCATCGGGACGGGTCCCACAGGGCGGGTGGGGGGTGCGTCACAAAATTCTGCAAGCGTTTGGTCAGGGGCAGGAGACCGGGTCTACTTGTTCCGACTGCTGCAAGTTCGTTTGGGTTGGTTCTGGCGATGATTAGATTGGGGGAGGGGCGAGGAGGGGCGGGGGGGGGGGGTGGCGTCACAACATTTTGGGGGGGAAGGGTTGGTCGGCAGGAAGCCAAGGCGAACTACTGCAAGTTCGTTTGGCTTGGCCCGCCCGTATTGTCTTACTCGTAGCACCTCCTGGCGATGATTACATGAATAATGAGAAGTCGCTGGTCCAGCTGTTGGATGGAGGAACTTGATTGAGAAGCCGGACTTGTCCGGACCGACTCAACCTGCATGCAGGAAACTCTTGGAGCGATTGGTGACTGCTTTCAGGAGTCAATGAGGGGCAAGGAGTGAAGAGACCGAGCAGAAGGGGATCTCCGGACCAGCATCAATGCATGCTTTGTGCGTGCAGTCTACGTGTCTGCATGGGACGGTTGAATGCTTTCAGGTCAAACGCCAGGCGCTCAGGCATCAGCCAGTACCCAGCACAATCTGCAGAAGTGCTAGTTGCCACCTTCCGCAGTGTCCGAGAGATGCGTTTGTCTGTAAGCTTCTCATAAGGCCCTCGGCAAGCTGGCCTCCAAAATGCGAGTGGTTTCACGCTACGGCAGCCCTTTCATGTTGCTTACTTGCCGGAAGTCTCCCATACGCGACCGGTGAGCGTTGAGCGCATTGCAGCCTGCTAGGTGGTGGGGGCGACGTCTTCGGCAAGATGCGGAAGCTCATCCAGGAAGTTTTCGGCCAGTCACAGCGGGTCAGCATGAGTCAACACATCACTGTGATGACACGTGACAGCTGTTCCAGCGCCATTCCGCTTGGGCACAGAACGAAGAAGCACGGTTCTTGCCGATGGGACAGCTGTAGCTGCATCATGTTTTCATTGAGCCTAGTTGCATGCCATATTGACCAGTGACATTCGAATTCATATGCAAGCATACATAGAACAGTAACGATCTTCACAGCCGCTGTGCATGCTGCGCGGCCTCTGCGCAGTGCAGCGATCACTGGGGCGACATCCTCAGGTGTCGGCTTTCCTCACAATACCAAGCGGAGAGCACCAACGCACTCAGACATGTCCGTGGTACTTCCATGAAACCAAAGTCAAACGTGCCTAATTAAAAAGCATCAACAGCGTCAATATTGCGCTGTAACATCTCACGACGGGCCGCAGTTTGCCCGGTTACCAGCTCTTTCTGAAGTGCACACGAGCGATTTCGAGCTCCCTGCATCGACTGCGTGCCTAACAGGATCTGACAGGTGCTTCTCAGCTTCTCTATTCGGAGTCGGGATGGCATGTCCGCCACCTTGGGATCCTTGGGGTTCCTGGCGTTGTGGGAAGGTCTGTGGCGCTTTGGTGTAGTTGTGTGTCGCCTCTTTGTGGGCTCCGCGTGACCTGCTCAGCACTAAAGTCACTAAAGGACGCCGACGAGACGCAGCGCTGGTAATTGCTTCCCACTTTCCTTCATGTGCCCTTCATGGCTGAGATGGGAAAGAATTACCTCTGTCATCGCCTTGCAGAACAAAATCTTAGGGAGTGTCTCCTTTGGCGAATCGCATTGTAGGCAGCCACATCGAATCTTTGAAAGGTTGTTTTTTTTCGATGCGTGGGAAGCGTCCGCATTGGGGAATCGTACTTTGGGCAAGTTGTCCAGCCGCGCTTCAATCAGGTTGAAAGATGAACGCTCGAGGAGTGCATCTCGGGTGCGCCCATTGGGCCTTCGAGTAAACTCTACAAACGACAACAAGAAACAGCAAGCGCCTTCTTGGGGTTTTGCTGCAAGTGGACACTCCACGTTGTTGGAAAACGGTCTGCAACATCAGTGTCCGCCAGGCATTGTGAGTTTTGAGCACTCGCGCACTGACACCCATGTGCAGCGTCCACATTCAAGTTTCGTCTTTACTTGTGCCACTGTTGTGTAATCTGTTTAGGGAGCATCCACACTGTGGTGATGTGTACCTTGGCCAACTGGTGTGAGCTAGATCCACTCTTTGTAACTGTGGGTTTTTGGTGAAGTGCAGATGGGTGCAGATGGGTGTACTGCCATCCTGAGTAGACAGGCTGGTTCAGATTGAGGTGTAAAGACAGCGTGAACAACTTCCGCATGTTCAGCCCTTCCGTGACTTCTGCGAGTTCAATATGCCTTGGCGCAAGCGCACTCAGTTTCCCACTTCAAGTGTTGGCGGATGAGATCTTCAGAGCTCTTTCGTTTGTTTGTGTCAGGGCTCTGACTGCGGCTGTTGCACCGGATGGCGACATCGGCAACTCACCGGCAGCAGCAAACACGATATTCCCTGGACTGGCATCTTGCAGACTCGCCCTGCCAAGCTGTGCCACTCGTTGGCATTCGTCGCTACTGTGTATCGGCAGCTTGGCGCTGACTTGGTGTACCTTGCGTTTGTCCCTCCCTGCCTGCCCGTAGCCAATGACGGCTTCATCTCGAAGATTGGAGAATCGGACGGACTTCCTCTGATGAATGAGCTTCTCTTGGCATTTGACAGACGCATGTGTGGTGTGTGTGTGTGTGTGTGAGAAATGTTGTGGAGGAATGGCATGTTTGTGGAGCACTGAAACAGGGGCATGTTTCATCTCGTCTGACTGAGATGTCAGCGTCGCTGTAACATTCGGATCGTGTGGCTTTTCAGACCTCCCCCTGCCTCCCACTGCCTCTCGCGCTCCCAAAAAAAGTCAGCGCCGGCTTTTCAGTATCGCTTTTCAATACTGGCAGCTCTTCAGAGGACTGAAAGGTTTCCATGTCGCAAGCGGGATGCTTTATGAAACGTGAGTACTATCCAGTCCAAATTGCAGTATCATTGTTTGGCCAGTATTGACGTCTCAGGTACCTGATGACTGAATGCACGCATGATGTTACCCTTGCGAAATTGTTGGGGCGGCATGAGGTGGGTGCTGCGACACATCAAGATCCGGTACTGTCCTTTCTGTCTCCAGGTTGCGCCGCCTTGCCAGAATGGCCCGGCCACGGCTCACTTATTTGGCTGGATGCCCGGTCTTCGCTTGTGAAAACATGGCCTCGTAGGAATCTCTGTGTTGATGAGACGGCAAGCCCAAACATTCGACGTCTTTTGCTTGCCATCTTGAACATCCCCAAGGATGCCAAGATGCTGGCTGAGCCAATCAGACTTGCTTTGTTTGTTGGGGTCTTATCAACGAGACGCAGCGAGACGCAGCGAGATGCAGCGAGATGCAGCACTCAGTAGTGGCCTTCAGCAGTGGTCGTCAGAGTGACAGTTGCTCAGGTCGGTCAGGTGGATTTCGAAGACAGGCGAGTGACACACCAGGCGCTTCAATAAAAAGCGCTCCATACCTTTGTGAGTTCTCATTCATATACCATTCCGTACCTGTAAGCGAGGAGGTGCAAGAGCTGAACCTGCAGGGGCAGCTTCCGTTCGGCCAAGTCCCTGAGCCTCGGCTTCGAATCACCATCTTTAGCCCTGGGGCGAGTGCTCATAACATCCCATAACAAATCATAGAGTATGATAGCTTCATGAGCTCTTCTTTTTTGTTGGCCTTATCTCGAGGTGCTGGAATTGGATGGGCAGGCTGCTGGACAGCCGAGTAAAACCGAAAGCTTCTCATTGCGCCATCGTCTGCTTCTGTTGACGTCGCGTTCCATGTTCCTCACCAGGTTTTCGCCCAGACAGGAGCCCTGCTCCGGTGGGCTGGGAGACAGGCGCGGAAGACCTGTTGGCTTTGTCTCTTCGTTCCGAGATCTCTAGTTCTGCTTGAGGCGAAGCTTTACCCAGAGGAGCCCTTGCTCCAGCTGCGTTGCGATGCCGTTGAGGCAGGTATCCTGCAGCGAGGGCTTTGGCGGCTTTGGTTGTGCAGGAAGGTTTCAAGGAACCGTGTTCCATGGTGTACCAACACGTCTGTGAAAGCTCACTGCTCACACGCCATGAATGTGGTAGACTGGAGCTTGGGCTTTAGGGCTTTATTTGGCATGCACTCCGGAAGCTTTGGGAAGCTTTGGGATCCCACATCTGCGTGGGCCTGTATTGTGAGCCACTTTCGCGAATTCGCAGTCGAGCCTCACAGTACCTTTATGTGCCTTTATGTGCCTTTGCAGTCAAGAAGTCAAAGGTCGCTGACCCATGCCTACTCCTAGCAGCTACGGCTAAGATTTTGTGTAACCTCCTGATGCCATGGCCGCTGCCGTCCATGCTGACTTCCAGGATGCTTGGCTGTGCACTGGTGGATTAGAGTGACCCAGTCAGGACACAGGACATCTCAGGACTCAGGATCATCTAGACTTTAGATGCTTCGGCTGTTTGTCACAGCCGTTGTGCTTGCAATCGCCACGGCCCAATACCACGAAAAGCTGCGGAGCAACAGAGAAGCCACTGCGAGAAGGCAGATTCCAGTGAAGTTCAGCAGGAACACGGCAAGTTTCTCTTGAAATGGGTTGAGGTTCATCAATGTACTGACTTCAGCGACAGTGACAGAAGTGCCTGATGCGCGACATTGCACGACCACTGCGAAGAGTTGCAAGCCGTGTGTGAACTTAAGACCCTCAAAGTGACCAAAGCCGCAAGCCTCACAGGACATCATAGCAACACCCTCAGAGAAGTCGAAGTCATGAAGTCGGTCTCTACCGCCTGAGGTGAAGGCAGGGCTTGCTGGTCCGTCAACGGGCTCCCCAGCAAACAGAGCCCCCCCCAAAGCGCTGCCCACTCCAATGGCAGATCCGAGAATCGAAATAGAAATAAGTAAATATATAAATAAAAGTTTTGATTCAAATTGAAAAACACAGAAATAGATAAACATGTACATCATTTTTTTTTCTCTCTCTCTCTCTCTATATGTATATATATATATATCATTGGCGTATATATATATATATATATATATATATGTATATATATATATATATAATTGGCGGGAGGATGGTTGTGAAAGGCATCCGCAGTGAACGACACTTCAAGTCAAAACGCTGGCAAAAACTTCGAAGGTTGCCCGAGAGTCTGAGCCTGATAGCAGCAGAAGTCGAATCTGTTGAGCCATTTGCACGTATGCAGAGGGTTGTAGGAGGGAGACGCGCGCGCCCAAGGAATCCTTCGAATCTCTGGGACTGGGCTTGGCAAGCACCATGTTCACGGCATTTCTTGGTATGAAGCGTGATCTGTGTTCTTCTGCTTTCTTATTCGCGGTACTCCCTAGCTTCTGATCAATAGGCAGGGGAGCCCATGAATACAACAACAGAACCTTGGAAGCACGGGGCTGGGAGTCCGCACTGTTTCCTCTTCTCTCCCCTTTCTCCTCTCTTCCTGTTGCCTTCTTCTCTCTGAGTCTTAGTCTCAGCATGAGTGAAATGAGCTCCCTTTGCCATCTCTGTGGCCTTCGTTTGAACTGGATCAACAGCCAATACATTGGGTACCGACCTTTGCAGGCGGAGTAGTAAGGAGTCTCCATTTGCTTCTGCAGCCTCAAGCTCCCCAAAAGCCACAACCCACTTCAGCAACAAGCTAATTAGTTGCTTGGCTCCCGATTGTAGTTTTGCAGCTCTGCAGTAAAGCGTCCCACCTCGCTTGAAGCTAAGTTGGTTCGCTTGGAGCTGAAAGCTGTCCAGCATGAAGCCTCTGGAAACTGCCGAAGCAGCCCTAACTTGTCCCTTTTTGTTTTGGCTCAGCACATCATGTTCTGTAATTCTAGGGCGTTTATGGGGGCCCAGCGAGTTCTGAAAATCACTTCATAGTAAGGGCATGCCAATCAACGCACCACCTTACTAGAATTCAATCATGTCTTCGCCCTGAGCACAAGTGGGTGTGGTCTCTCTCCAAACTACAGTCGTTTTTCTATGCGCCACTTCCGCAGATCGTGAGAGTAATTTACGGATGCTGGCTGCTAGATGCTGCTGCCCCGTGGGCTGTCACTTGCTTTGCGGCTTACTGCACTTGGAACCGTTGAGATCATATTGCAGTTGCTGTGAAGGACCCATTACTGACAGCGCGGAGTTCACAGGGTTCGCTGATTCAGGCTCAGTGCGCTCTTCATGACCTCTTGAATGATGGCAGAGTTTCTTTTCCACATGGCCTACTTTCTTACTTTGCTGCAAACAGTTGAGCTGTGCGTTCTTGCTTTGCGCAGGGAAGAAGCGCGAAAAGCGCTCCACACGCTTCAGCATCGAGGGAGCGCCGGCAGACGACGGCGTCCCCGAAGCTCCGCGAAGCTCGCTGCCGGCTTCTGGGATCTCAAATGGTATAACGTTGGTTGCGATGTTGTTATCCTGATTTGGTCACTTCTAATTTGTGGTTCTTTGCGGGGTTACTATTCTCAGGCGGCCCCTAATATTTCGGGTGGTTTACAAAATCGGACCCAAATCTAGAGAACTGACGATGTTAATCGCGTTTCAACAAATTGCGTTTCAATTGTTAAACTGGCCATACATTTTTCATATGTTGCATGTTTTCAAAATACATTCAAAACCCCACAAGCGCTCACGCGGGAAGCGCTCATGCATGCTAAAGCGCTCACGAAGGCCTTCGGTGGTGTTTAGTGATTTGTGCCGCGTGTTTTCTTTTGGTGGTCCGGTGGGTGGAGGAAGGTCCGTTCCTGCTTGAGTCCACACCCTTTGCTATATTGTAATCTTCAGGGAATCCCACAAAGATTACGGCAGAGTGGTCTGGAGTGTCGAATCAAGTGATGACAGAGCCCCGAACTGCTTTTCTTAGAGAAAACTTTTAGCGCATGTTCAAGGGAGAGTTGTCCATTTAGCGGGATCTTTTTTGTCTTTCCGATTGCCCCCCCCCCCCCCCACCCTCGCCCCCACGGCCCACACACCTACCCATTCCGGAGCAGCTACCCACACCCCACCCACCCCCGCCCAGCCCACCCCACCACCCCCACCACATCACCCCCCACCACATCACCCCCCACCCACCCCCACCCACCCCACCCGACCCACATCCTTTGTCTCAGGTTCATCCCAGCGGAATTTGGAGCAAGAGCGGGACGGATGGCCTGCAGTTCGGCAGCAGGGACAGGTTGTGCTTGTGGTGAACTTATGGCACGAGCTAAAGAAAGGATGTTGTGAACCCTGAGCGACAGCAGCTTGGGGTCCCAGGTCGAAAATTTCGATTCCAAAGCATCAACCGGCTCACAGCGGCAGAGCCCCCCCACACCCCTAGCTGCAAGGGTGAAAGATCCAGAAACAGGACTCAACACGCGGCAAAGGCTCCTGGTTCCCATACTTGCAATGAGGTCCCAGGCTGAGGAAGCACCGCAGTTTTTTTTGGGGGGGTTTGGTCTGCCTCATGCCTTGCTGGCCAAGGATGGAAATCCTGAGCGCGCAGCACTCAGAGGCCAGCTTCTATGCCAGCACCTTGCATGTGAGCGGTAGTTCCCTGGTTGCGGAGTGTCTCCCACCCCACCTGATGATGCGGGTGCTAGGACGGCTGCAACTGCTCAACTGCTTTGCTTAAGTTTCCTTCGCCCTGCCACCCTTCATGCGACTCCGGTGAAGACCCTGATTTCGCCTCAGAGCTGCCGTCTGTCTAATTCGGTGTGGTGTCCACTATGTGCAGTTGGCAGTGATGGCTTATGCCTTCTGTTTGAACTGCCAGTGGGTGACCTTGGTGAATCTTGGTGACCATTGGTGTGTTCAGTGTTCCTTGCCCCTGCAGGTTCTCACCAGGCTCACTGCTCAGGACGAGTGTCTTGGCGGGAAAGGAGTGTGCTCTCCAGACATCCAAGCTACTAAGCTAGGGCCCAGGACTGACTCAGCCAAAGAAGGCTCGATGTGCGATGACCGCAAGACTCAGGATCCTGCGGCGCCTTGTGCCAAACCTGGGCCTCTCAGTGGAGGCGTGTTAACTTTCGCCTTGCCCAAAGTGCTCAAAACACGGGAGCAGTCTGGCCGCAGGCAAGTTTAATCCCCGACGATGGAATTGTCGCGGCATCCAGCGTGCTGACTGAACGAGAAGCTCTTGTGGAAGTGCTGACCACGGCTGATCACAGTATGCGCTGACATTGAAAGTCAAGAGGTGTTGCTCTGCCTAGGCATGGTTCCACATCCTGCTACTGCGAAGCTGAGCTCGAGAAACACGACCAGAAGCGTACGAAGTACTACCAGAAGTGCCAGGAATCAGAATCCTGAGGCGAAGGATTCTGAAGTGAAGCCGCAGGCTGCTTGCACCAGCAAGTGCCACTTTCTGACTTTTTGAAGTATGTTGTAATTCAGTATAATGCTACAATCTGCTACACCACAGCGGCAGTGGTTGTCAGGCAGTGCCGCGAGAAGCCTGTTGAATGTGCCTCGTGAGGCCTCTACGTCGCTGCGTCCAGGTTTCTTTCGGACCTTCACGCAAGTCGACAGCTCACTGCGCTACGCTGCATCCGCGATAGCCGCTTCTCGTGCTCGACATCGATTTGCTTCCATCCACTTGCGCTCGACTTCGTCAGAGGATGGAAATGCGGGCTGCATCGTGCGAACTGTGGAGGCGAGAGAGTTGGAGCTTTAGGTCATGCCTGCACATAGCGCCTCTGAAGCTAAGATTTTGTTCCAGCATGTGTTCACTCAGACTTGTGGCTCTTCGTGCCGTTGCCCCGAGGGCATTTGCTTTGACTTCTTCTTTGCCGTTATGGTGCTGGTAAACTGCGTATTCATTGGCATCGAAGTGCAGCATTCCATTGCATATCCAGATTCAAAAGCGATCAGCTTGATCGTGCTTCAGTGTCTTGGTTGAAGCCAGCGTACAGTCAGCAGACATTTTACCGTTTCGTCAACTTGTCTCCAGTTGGAGTGTGTGTGTGTGTGCGCGTGTGTATCATTCTGTGTGTGCGAGTATG